ACATTCACAAGTTCCAGGAATTAGGACCTGGATATTTTGGGTGGTCATTCAGCCAACTGTAGGCAACTAATCTTAACAGCTTCTTGTTTATGCTTCCTATGTTTCTGTTTGCACAAATGATTAGATACATGTATTTTTCTCACTTCCCACTCTTTCTTACATGAAAAGTGACATACTATTAACACTCTTACATTTTGTCTTTTTCACTTAACAAAATATCCTGAATATCACTTTACATTAGTTCATAGAAAATGACCTCATTCTTTTTGATAGCTTCATAGTATTCCATTGTATGAATGTGCTATAGGTTATGTACATACTCTCCTATGTATAGGAATTTAGTTTTTTCCTGATATTTAGTAATTATAAACAATACTACAATGATTAACTTTGTGCATAGAATTGTCATACTTTTGGAGGAATATCATCAGAGTCAATTTAATTTGCACTTCATATTTGAGTGAGTTTGAATATCTTTTCATATTTTTGAGAATTATGTGAGAAATATGTGTGTAGTGGGGAGAGATCATCTCTTGGTTAATAATTTGTCTCTTGTCTTTGTTTATTGTTGTTCAAAAATTTTTTAAACAAATTTATCAATTTTATTTTTTATTGGATCTGAATTTTGAGTCATAGTTAGAAAGTCTTTTTCTACATCAGGTTGTAGAGAAAGTCATAAATATTTTTTTCTAGTATTTACGTGGCTTTTCATCTTTGACATTTATATCCCTGGACCATTTGAAATTCGTTCTTGATTAAAGTGTGAGATTTTTTTTTAATTTTTATTTTTTATTTATTTTTTACGGTGACATTGGTTAACAAAATCCAATACGTTTCAGCTGTACATTTTAACAGTAAGGCATATATATATACATTTACACTGTGTGTTCAGCTCCCATAGTTAGATTTCCTTCTGTCACCACATATTGACCCCCCATAGCTTATCTACCTCTCCGTCCCCCTCCCTCCTACCCTCTGGCAGCCACTAGTCTATTGTTCATGTCCATGAGTCTCTGTTTGTCCTGTTCCTTTGTTGCTTTTAGGTTTATTTCCCACATATAAGTAATATCACGTGATTTTCAACTTTTTCTGTCTGGCTTATTTCACTTAGCATGATTATCTCGAGGTTCATCCATGTTGCAAATGGCAGTATTTCATCTCTTCTTATGGCTGAGTAATATTCCATTGTATATATGTACCACAGCTTCTTTAGCCAATCATCTATCATAGGACACTGCATTTGCTTTCAGATCCTGGCCACAGTGAATAATGCTGCTATGAACATCGGTATGCAAATATCTTTTCGGATATGAGTTTTCAAGTCTTTGGGGGTAGATACCTAGCAGAGGGGCTGCTGAATTATATGGTAGATCAATTCTTAGTTTTTTGAGGAACCTCCATACTGTTTTCCATAGTGGCTGTACCAATGTGCAATCCTACCAGCAGTGTATGAGAGTTCCTTTTTCTCCTCATCCTCTCCAACACTTGTTAATAAAATGTGAGATTTTGTTCTAAATTTATCTTTCTCCAAAAGGTAAACCAATTGTCCCACCAATATTCATTAAATTGTCCATCTTTTCCCAAGTGATTTGAGATACCATGTTTATCACATATTAAATTTCCACATGTATTTGGATCTATTTCTGGGACCTTGTGTTTTATTCCACTGGCCTATTTGTCCACCAAGACCATGAGTAGATAAACAAAACAGCTTTTTAGTGTATGTTAATGACTGGTAGGGCTAGTGTCTCCTCATAAACTTTTCTTTTTCATTGTTTCCTGGCTATTTTCACATGCTTATTTTTTCATATGAATTTTAATATAAACTTTTCTAGCTCCATAAAAATCTTGTTGGTATTTTTATTGGTATTTGTTAAATTTATAAATTAACTTAAAGAAAACATATCTTTATGATGTTATATAATATCTTTCCATTTGTTCAAGTCCATTTTTATATCTTTCAGGGTGCTTTAAAGTTTTTTCATATAAGGTTTGCACATTTCTCGGTAACTTTATTCTGAAACATTTTACCTTCTTTGTTACTATTGTATTCTCTATTTTCAAGGTATAAAATGAAAATATCTATAAGATATACCTTATTAATTATGCTATTTATATTATATATTTATATTCCTTGCTTATTTTCTGTTTACTTGGTCTGTTTGTACTAAAAGTGGCATATTAAAGTTTCCTACCATTGGTATATTTCTATCAATGTTTTTTTGCATGTCCTATGATTTTTGCTTTATAAATGTGTTACTGAATTATTTTGTAAATAGAATTCATAACTGTTATATATTCATTGTGAATTGCGACATTATTAAACTATGTCATGGGTCAGGTACATTGTCTTGTTCAATCCTTCACTCCCAGTGCGTAGTCCACAGTAATCAATAATTATAGGTTGAACAAACCTCCTCTCTCTCACCTGGCTATTATCTGAGGGGGTAGGGGGTTTATCTCTCATTGGCTAAGGCCCACTCAGAGAAATTAGGAACCAATTATTATGGACTCTGGGAAAGTACCTTGAAAACAGGACTGTGTTTTATTCTCCTTGAAATACCTAGCAAAGTCTCTTGCACAAGGTAGAGTACACCTGGAAACTGAAAGAACTCTTTTGGGGTTATTGTTAAGAGGAAATTAAATACTTCATGCAAAGGACTTGGAAGAACCTGGAGTATAGAGAAATGTTCAGTAAATGTTTGCTCCTGCCTCAATTGTCCTTGCTGTAATAGAAATAAAAATACAGGGTTGACTCACAGATCAAACAAGAATGCTTTGTGTTAAACAGCTTTGTAAACCACAAATACTATCCAAATGGACTTATCCAAGTGCAATATATTAATAAATCTTGGCATTGAGCAGCCCAGTTTGGAGGGACGGGCCTTCACGTTGTAGTGCAAAGACCTAACTCATTCTAACTCTTACCGTTCATTAAATGACCCCGAACAATCGCAACTTCGGTATTGTTTCTTTTCTTCATATTTAAAAGCAGCCTCTGAACGGACAAGACTGTCCCTCGGAGTCCTGCCCGTGTCTCTTTGCGGGCCTTTCTGATTCGCGACCGCTCACTCCCTTGGCAGGCAGAGGAGACGTGCGGAGCGGGACCAGTCC